GGCTGAAGACATAGATGGCCGTGGTCACGCTGACGTCTAGGCTCATGAAGGCCAAGGTCACCACCACCGCCTTCCACAGCCGCATCCTGCCGGCTGGTGGCGGGTAGGTGCTGAGGAGCAGGCTGCAGCTCACCGGGGTAAGGCCATAATTGTCCGTGGGGTGAGGCCAGACCTGTGGGGGCAATAGCAAGCATAGGGTGAGGGTTCAGGTTTGCTACGTGCCGGCTGGGCAGCCTTGAGTAAGTCACTTGATGTCTCTGAGTCTCAGTATTTTTCTTTTTTTTTTTTGAGTTGGAGTCTCACTCTGTCGCCCAGACTGGAGTGCAGTGGCCGCTCCCGGCCACCACAGCCTCACCTGCTGGGCTCTGGCAATCCTTCCGTCTCAGCCTTCCAAGTAGCCGGAATTACAGGCATGCACTACCACGCCCAGCTGATTTTTGATTTATTGTAGAGATGAGGTCTCACCAAGTTGCCCAGGCGGGTCTCGAACCCATGGGCTCAGGCAATCCACTCACTTCAGCCTCCCAAAGGCACGGGATTACAGGCTGAGCCACCGAGCCCGGCTGCCTCAGTATTTTTCATCTGTAAAATGGCAATAACAAGAGTACTGACTTTCTGGGGGGTGTTATAAAGATTCCATTCAGGCCAGGAACAGTGGCTCATGCCTGTAATCCCAGTGCTTTAGATGGTCAGGAGTTTGAGACCAGCCTGGGCAACATAGCAAGACCTCATCTCTACCAAAAAAGAAAAAAATTAGCCAAGCATGGTGATGTGTGCCTGTAGTCCCAGTTACTCAGAAGATTGAGGGGGGAGGATCGCCTGAGTCCAGGAGTTCCGACTGCAGTGAGCTATGATTGTCACTGCGTTTCAGACTGGGCAACAGAGAGACTCTGTCTCTAAAAAAAAAAAAGAGAAGATTCCTTTCATTCAAGGAATATTTACTGAATGTCTGCGGCTGGTCAGACTCTTTTCTTTGTATTGGGAATTTAACAATGAACAAAAATAACAAACATCCTTGCTCTTGTGGAAATGACACACACATGCAGAAGACAGATGCAAGGAAAAGATATCGTATGTTAAGAGATACAGGCTAAAGCCGGGCACATTGGCTCATGCCTGTAATCCCAGCACTTTGGCAGGCGGAAATGAGAGGATTGCCTGAGCCCAGGGGTTTGAGACCAGCCTGGGCAAACTGGCAAGATCTCATCTCTACAATAAATCAAAAAATTAGCTGGGCATGGTGGCGCATGCCTATAGCTTCAGCTACTTCGAAGGCTGAGGCAGAGGGATCACCTGGGTGACAGAGTGAGACTCTGACTCAAACAAACAAACAAAAAATACAGGCTATGGAGAAAAAAGAGGGGAGTGAGTAGAAGGGGGAGGTGAGAGCAATTGTAACAAGGAGGGCCAGGGAAGACCTTGCTGGGAAGGTAATACTTGAGCAAGACTTGAAAAAGGTGAGGAGACCTGCCCTGTGGCTACCTGGGGTAAAGCATTTTGAACAGTAGAACAATGCCAGGGCCCTGAGACAGGAGTGCATCTCAGGAGGGGGAGGAGGGTGTGGTGTATCTGGAGGACTCTGCAGCCATCATGAGGCCAAGATGCAACAAAGAAAGTTCGGTCAGTGGTCGCCCTCTTTGCTATTACTATTACTGAACTTGGACCTGCTTCCACATCTGAAAAAATGTTAGTGTGAGGCTCAACACATGAACATCAGTTCTGGACACAGTGCCTGGCACATAATAATTGCTGCTGCTTGTTTTCAGCTATATACAGTGGATGCTTAATACATGTGCGTTCACTTTCCTCCTTTCCAAATCAAATCATCTCTACGACCCCAAACAAACCTTTACCCTCTTAGACCAAGAAGGAATTTAAAGGGTGCTGGGGGTGGCTTGCAGGCCCCGTTGCAACCTGGGGACCTGGGCATCTGCTTGGAAGTTTCCAGAATATTTCCCTCATACCCAGTCCGGCCCTCACACCCAAGGGTGTGAGAGAGATCACTGTGTCTGCTTTGTCTAAAGCACCTTCCCATACCAGTCCCTCAGGGCTCACCTAAGGCCTGGAGACCCCAGGAAGGGTGCTGTTGGGCTGAGCTTAGGAGTGGGGCTTGTCCAGATGGGGCTGGGCCCAGGCTGGGGTGTGTCCCTGAGTACCACCTGCTGACTCAGGTCCAATCCTTTGTCTCAAGGGGGTTTTGTCGTCTCACCTACACAATGGGCACAGCTGTGGCACCCACAAGTGGAAGGGAGAGGCACTGAGCACCAGGCAGACTGAGGGAGTCTGGGTGTGCAGGGGGCCCTCCTGAGAGAGACCTTCCCTGTACAGCTCCGGGGCCCAGACCAGAGCTGCCCATAATCCTGTGAGGCCAGGGTTTCCACATTCCAATTTACAGTCGGGGAAACCAAGGCACAGAGAGACAAAATCACCTGCTCCAGACACTCAGCCAACACAGGCCCAAGCCAGGACTTGAACCTGTATGTGAAGGAACCCAGCCCCTGACTTTCCACCTCCGTACTGCATGCCTGGCACACAGCAGGAGTCTAAAACTACCAGCAAACAGTTGTGTAACATAGCGTTTCCCAGGAGCCCTGCCCCATGCCGTGGGCTTCAGGCAGGTTCACGTAATCCTCACAATTTTGTGAGAAGTGCACTCTCATCATTTCCAGTTAGCAGATGGAGAAACTGAGGCCCAGAGAAGTGAATAACTTGCCCAGGATTGCACAGCGGGTGAATAGCGGAGCTGGGAAGTCAACTCAGAGCTGCCTGGGCCCAGATTCTGGGCCCTTCACCGCTGAGCTAAGATACTTTCCAATATAACAAATGGTCACAGGGAGGGGTTCATCTAAGGAAAACAGAGTCCACATCAGAGGGGGGTCCGCCAAGCAGCAGAGATGATAAGGATGATGAGTTTTTTGTTTTTTTTTTTTTGAGTTGGAGTCTCACTCTGTCGCCC